TGTTATTTACTGTTTGCTGTATTTTATAACTTATACAAATCTCTTTTTACTTGTTCTTGTTTTAGATTTATTATATTTTATTATAAAGATAATATCGGAAATCGTTTGACTTTAAAATTTGCATATTAAATTATCTTATCTTATTTTATTGCTTTATTGGGCGCATATTTATAAAAATTTTATCTCATAAATTCTCAAATTTTTGTTGACAATAACCCTTTGAAGTAAGACAAAATGTTTAAAACACCCCCACTTAATAAGACTACAGTATTGACGGATAACTCCGTAAAACAAACCGAAGAAATAGAACCATCAGCGGGGAGAGCGCAGGAAGGGATATCCCAAGTAAGAAAAAGTGTCGGTGAGCTTGAGTCGCGACTTAGTGCAGCTCCTAAAACAAGGACAAACACGCAACCGGCGAAACAAAAATCTCAAAACAAACTATCCCCTGCAGCTTGCAGTGTAGAAAACCAAGCTGACCCAGAAACGACTACTTATGCAAATAGGGCACAAGAAGCGAAAGCGTATCTGGTTAAAATAAAACTTTTATTAAATAGCTCACGAAATCTAAAGACGGAATTAAAGGACAAAATTATAGAAGCTGTTGACAAATTATATAGGTTGGCGAAAGAAGTGGGAGAAGGAAAGGAAATCACATTAGTAAAAGAATCTAGCACTGCTGAGAAAAAAGATCGAGGTAGAACACAAGCTAATAAAGAAATTAGAAGAACACAGTAAGCTCCTCACTGAGTATAAAATAGAAACTCAACGGTTTAGTGAAGAGGTAAAATGCCACACCGAGAAATTAACTACCTATGCAAGTGTGACGGCAAATTACACCAAGAGTCAACACCTGAAAGTTATCCCAACCCACCTGAAAAACACCGTCCATCCACAAATGCATTCAATTATAGTTACATCGGACAATGAAAATGACACGAGTGGTGAAGTACTTAATAAGATAAGAGTTGCGGTAGATGCAAAACAAAATGGCCTAAGGATTGAAAAAGTGAGAAAGGCCAAAGATCAGAAAGTGATCGTGGGATGCGGTACTAGAGAGGAATGGAGAAAGTAGCAAACCGACTGAAAGCAGGTCATATAGGACTTTCAGTCGAAGAAGCTAAGAATAAAGACCCACTGGTAATTCTAAGGGATGTACTGCAGATCAATACCGATGAAGACATAATTACCGCAATTAGAAACCAAAATAAGAACCTATTGGAATCATTAAAAAGCGAAGAGGTGCGATTAGCAGTACGTTACCGGAAAAAGACCAGGAACCCGTATACAAACCACGTGATCCTTCGGTGTCCCCATCACTATGGAAACGCTTGACAGAGATAGGGCGCGTACACGTTGACTTACAGCGCGTAGTGGTAGCAGACCAGTCACCACTGGTGCAATGTTCTAGATGTCTTGCGTATGGGCACGGAAAAAGACAATGCAAGGAGGCAGAAGATCAATGTTCCCACTGCGGAGGTTCACACATCAAAGCCGAATGTACAGCGTATACTGCTGGGAAAACACCTTCTTGTACCAACTGTCTCAGAGCAAAGTTGGATCGCGCCGACCACAACACTTTTGACAGTGAGTGTCCGGTACGTAGGAAGTGGGATGCTATAGCAAGATCAAGTGTGGCATATTGCTAAAGTTGTGGCTAAAATTGGGGGCAATGAGCAAAAACGACAGGAAAGGACAAAAAACGAACCCATCTTCTTCGTGCAGGCAAATCTTCAAAGAAAAGAGCTTGCAACTAATGAATTGATGATTGAGGCCAGCAAGATTGGGATGAGTATCGCTCTAATCCAAGAACCGTATGTGGGGGGCGGAGGGAGCATGAAAAGCTACCGAGGTGCTCGAATAAATCAATGCACCCAAAGAACAGCAGGAATAGTTAAGACGGCCATTGCCGTCTTTAACAATAACATCAGCGTCACTCAGTATCCTACTCTCACTACAAATAATTTCACGGTAGTCAAAATTGGAATGGGTGCTCAGGAGGTGGGAATAATATCCCTGTATCTCGAACCGGACTTACCCATTGAACCATACATGGACCATTTAAGACATGTGCTCACTAAAATTGGTAAAATTGACCTACTCGTAGGAGGGGACGGAAACGCTTGGAGCCCATGGTGGGGTAGTGTGAGAGAAGATGGAAGGGGAGAAGTGCTATCGGGAACTTTAAATGAGCTCAGCCTCCACATATTAAATGAAGGAGACACTCCACATTTGATACGGTAAGAGGAGGAAAAACATATAGGAGTCATGTCGACATAACAGCATGCTCCGAAAACTTGTTGAAGGTGGTGGAGGACTGGAAAGTGGATACTGGCATGACAAGTTCAGATCACAATACAATTAAATTCTCAATTAATTTAGTCAAAAGTTCAGGAGTAACGATACAAAGAACAACGAGAATATATAATAGTAAAAAAGCAAATTGGAGTCAATTTCGTGAGAAATTGATTCAATTTCTGGCAGATAAAAATATCAATTCCGTAGAAATTAAAAAAAATAAATAACAAATTGGACTTAGAAAATCAAATCAAAAATTATTTAGAAACAATCGAAAAAACTTGCGAAAACACAATCCCGAAAAAGAAGAATATAAGCAAACTGAATTTACCATGGTGGAGTGACGAACTTGTCAGGCTTAAGAAGGACTACATAACCAAAAAACGACGCATAAGATGTGCAGCCTCAGTGCGAAGAGAAGCAGTCGTCGGAGAATACCTGCAAGCAAAAGAAAAATACGAATATGAAGCTAAACAGGCTCAGATAAAAAGCTGGAAAGAGTTCTGTGGTAGACAGAATAGAGAGGGGTTGTGGGAAGGCATATACCGAGTTATCGGCAGAACTGCTAAACGGCACGAAGATCTGCCACTCACAAAGGATGGAGTAGCTCTAAATAATGCCGAATCAGCGAGATGTTTAGCCGAGACATTCTACCCGGAAGATGAGGTTGAAGCTGATAACATAGACCACCAGCGTATAAGAAAGATAGCTGAAAAGATAAACGTGGGAACGCAAGATGATTCTTGTGACCCACCATTTACTCTTGCGGAGCTAAGGCAAGCTACGAGCAGCTTCAACCCAAAAAAGGCACCCGGTGGGGATGGTTTTACGGCCCACATCTGCCGAGAAGCCATCTTTCATAGCCCGGAGATTTATCTGAGCCTAGTCAACAAATGCCTGGAGTTGGGACACTTCCCTACCAAATGGAAAGAGGCAGTGGTAGTTGTTTTGAGGAAACCTGGAAAGGATGATTATACGCACCCCAAAGCCTACAGACCAATAGGTCTACTACCTGTGTTAGGTAAAATCCTGGAGAAAATGATAATCAAAAGGATCAGATACCATGTCCAATCCGGGTGTAGTACTCGTCAATACGGTTTTACCCCCACAAAGGAGCACCGAAGACTCCCTCTATGATATGATGCAATATATCCAACTACAATTACGCAATAAAAAGATCATCGTGATAATATCTCTTGACATAGAGGGAGCCTTCGATAGCGCCTGGTGGCCAGCTATAAGATGCCGATTGGCTGAGGAAAAGTGCCCTAATAATATAAGAACATTGATGGACAGTTATCTCCAGGATAGGAAAGTGAGACTTAGATATGCAGGTGTGGAACATACACGGGCAACCACAAAGGGGTGCGTACAGGGTTCCATAGGAGGACCGGTCCTATGGAATCTTCTTCTCGACCCTCTCCTAAAAGAAATGGAAGGTAAAAGTGACCGGTGTCAGGCGTTCGCCGATGACATCGTCCTACTGTTTGCGGGGGACACGGCGCTTGATGTCCAAAGACGTGCGGATGCTGCTCTGGAACATGTTGTGAAGTGGGGAATTCGTAACAAACTTAAATTTGCGCCACATAAGACCCAGGCAATGGTAATAACGAACAAACCAAAATACGATCCCCCACGTCTGAGCATGGGCGGTATAGTGGTGCGCATGTCAGAGGAGATCAAGGTGCTTGGTCTCACCGTAGACAAAAAACTTACTTTTAACACACACGTTAGGAATGTGCGCAAGAAGGCCACATCTCTCTACTCACAGCTATCGAGAGCGGCAAAGATCAGTTGGGGCCTTCAACCAGAAATTATTAGGACGATGTACACGGCGGTAGTTGAACCGGTGGTTTTGTACGCAGCGAGCGCGTGGGCGCCAGCCGCTAAGAAGTTGGGAGTCAGGAAGCAACTGAATAATGTGCAGTGAGGATTCGCTCAAAAAATTATCAAAGCATACCGGACCGTATCCCTACACTCGGCACTAGCACTGTCTGGTCTGCTTCCTCTGGACTTGAGGGTCCAAGAAGCAGCTTCCCTTTTTGAGGCGAGGAGAGGAAAACTCCAGTCGCTGCTGGCAGACCGAGTGGTGGAGACAAAGGCGAGCTTTATGGAACTGCCTCACCCCGCATCCTATATGGATCTGCAATTCATATGCCTGGTAAACGAGGACGAAATGAGACTCACCAACAACCAGAGTCTCCGAATATTTACCGACGGGAGTAAAATAAAGGGAAAGGTCGGAGCGGCCTTATCTTTTTGGAATAATGCTGGTGAGACCCAAACTCTGAAACTCAAACTGTCGGACTACTGTACCGTTTACCAGGCGGAATTACTGGCCATATACATGGCAACTGAGCTGATTCTCTCTAGCGCGGAGACAACTTTCGGGGTCTACAGTGACTCTAGGTCTGCTCTGGAGACCATTGTGGACCACGACTCTCAACACTCTTTAGCAGTCAAGACCCGCAAAAACATTTATAACATCTTAAGGCAACAAAAAACATTACAACTCTTTTGGATAAAAGCCCATGCGGGTCTTGCGGAAAATGAACGAGCTGACGAGCTGGTTAAACAGGCGGCGCTGCGGGCAAAAAGAAAGCCGGACTACGACCTTTGCCCGGTCTCTTTTGTAAAGCGTCTCATTCGATCTGAGACGCTTAAAGAATGGAACCGAAGGTATACAGATGGAGAGACCGCTAGAACAACTAAAGCATTTCTGCCGGACGTTGAGACAGCCCACAAGGTGATTAGAGAAACAGCGCTGTCTCCGACGATGATCCAAGCAATGACCGGACATGGTGGGTTCTCCGAGTACCTGTATCGGTTTCGGTGCAAGGAGAGCCCATCATGCGTCTGTGAGCCTGAAACCGAGGAGACGGTTATGCACATCCTCCTGCAGTGTCCTCGGTTTGATAAAGCCAGATACGATATCGAGTCTGAAATCGATATTCAGATAGTAAAAGAAAATTTACACATGCTGCTCATTGAAAAAAAGGACGCGAAATAAGTTTATAAAATTTTGTGAGGGTGTAGTTAAACAAGTCATTAAACATAACCAAAAGTAAATTATAGAAATTTAATATAGTTTAATATGACGAATATTTTTAATATGATAAATATGCCCAATGACCATTGTTGATTATTATTATCTCTATTATTTACTAAAATATGTAACTTGAACTGATTATTAATTCAATTATTATTTGAGACTTAACAATCAATTTAGTAATAAAACCGGCGCTTCCTTGTGTTTATACTTTTATATACAGAGAGAATGCGCTGACTCCAAATTCAAAATTATAAGATTTATTTACAAATTGTATGTGTGTTAATATAAAGGAATTTATAAGTAAGAGATATAATATATTGTTGTTGCGTGTATTAGGTAAAGAGTAGTAGGACTCCCGAACGAAAACCCGGAGTCCTCTACACCCTCTATAAAACAAAAAGGACCAAGGAAATAAAAAACATGAAAAAAAAGTCCATGTCGAGCTGACAATGTCTCTGACCTACATGTCAGAGGAAAGCAGCAAAACATACATTAAAAAAAAAAAAACCTAACCTAACCTAACCTAACCTAACCTAACCTAACCTAACCTAACCCCCCCCGTTGCCTTCACCCAATCGCAGTAGAAGCCAGAGAAAATCTTAAAGATATATCTCTCCAGGGCAAGGTAGTCACCTTGTTCTGGATAAAAGCTCACGCAGGTTTTGAAGGCAATGAACGAGCAGACCAACTCGCGAAGGAAGCGGCCAAGAACTCCAAGAAGAAACCGGATTACGACCTTTGTCCGGTTTCATTCGTCAAGCGGTGCATTCGCCAGGCAACGCTTGACGAATGGAATCATAGATATAAGACAGGTGAAACGGCCGCAGTTACAAAAATGTTTTTCCCGGATGCAGTAAATGCATATAGAATTGTCCGTAAGATTAAAATAGATAGTCACAAAACACAAGTGATGACAGGACACGGTGGATTCTCCGAGTACTTAAACCGTTTTAAGTGCAAGGAGAGTCCATCGTGTATCTGCGATCCTGCGATACCCGAGTCAATCCCTCACATAGTGTTAGAATGCCCCGTCTTTGGCATAGAACGTTTTGAAGTTGAGAGTAAGATGAAAACCAAAATAACGGCTGAAACTGTGAAGGATATAATGGAGAGTGATCAAAGAAATGTATTTCTAGATTATTGCGTAAGAATAGCGAGAAAAGTAATTGTAAGAAATAAAAGTAGTTAAGAAAGTATGCTGTATTAATATATTGATGTATATTACTTATAAGCATAATACTGTAGTAGATTAAAATATTGTTAGCAAGTAAGCAGTAGCAAGAATAAAATAGATCAGGTTGTGTACATTTACTTCCCTGAAATAATGCCCAGCAGTGGAAAAAGAAGGAAAGAATAGAAATAAGAATGTAGTTAGATTAGATAATAAAGAATAGATAGAAGGGAATCCCACCCTTAGTAGAAAGAAAGGCGATGAATGCAAGAAAGAACTAGTATGTAGAATGAAAGTACGAGAAGCATAGAAGCGAGAACTGGTATGAAAGAGAAACAGCTGAAATAGTCTCCGATAATGTTGGAGGTATTATAAAAGAAAAAAAAAAAAAAAAAAAAAAAAAACCTAACCTAACCTAACCTAACCTAACCTAACCTAACCTAACCTAACCTAACCTAACCTAACCTAACCTAACCTAACCTAACCTAACCTAACCTAACCTAACCTAACCTAACCTAACCTAACCTAACCTAACCTAACCTAACCTAACCTAACCTAACCTGTATTAGGAGAATAGCCACTCCTTGCGTTTCGGCCGCCTGCAGGCATTCTTGTTGGGCTAATTGTCCCCTACCGAGATTGATTTGGGCAATTTTTATTTTTCCATACTTTCTGCTCGAAGGTCTTTGTGAGGAAACGTCGGTGACTTTAGCAATATGTGATCGTTGCTCTTGCTATCCGATCCCATTTCCTCCATTCCAGACATTCTGAGCTATATGCAGGGTGTGCACTCTTCGTGTCACACTCATTCTTTTCTACGCAGTTTTTGCACTTAGGCGCTTTATCTCTATTGTGACACTCTCTGGTGTCATGTTCCTCAGCGCAATACCCACAGCATGTTTTTTGAGCTTGGCACTCTCGTGCTCGATGAGAAAACCCAAGACATCGATAGCACTGAGTAACCGGTGACTGATCAACTGCCGGGACTATCTGAAAGCCGAGTCTGATATTCTTGTCTCTCAATTTGCTCCAGATTTGTGAGCTTACTTCGAGTATGATGTTGCTTGTGGAGCTAGTTCTACCCTTTATTCTTCTTACTACTCTGACGTATTGTTGCGTTGATGAGATGCCTTGTAAAAGAGTGCTGTTTTGCTTTATTATTGCTTCTTCGATCTTTTTATCGGTTAGGTCAAAGACCACACCTATTAGGCGTAGGAGTGGGTTCTTAATAGTCGGCCTATAGACCGTCAGCTTGGCTGTGTTGTTCTTTAATTTTTCTTGGAGGATGCTTCTGTCCTCTTCAGATTCACAGCTAATGAGAACTTTTTGATTTTTCGCTTTTCTCATGTTACTGATGCCGATCCCAGGCCCGACTACGTCGACCCCGCTCTTGACCTGTTTTATGATATCATCGCTAGTGTTCCTAGGGTCAGCCGATTCCACTATCACCGGATAATGCGGCTTTATCACCACCTCTGAGAATGTACGTGTGAAGCTTTTATGCTTGAATACTGTTGCTTGATCTCTTTTCTCGTAATCGTTTATATCATCCCCTTTTAGTTGAGAGTTGTTACCAGTGAAGTCTGCTTCATTTACACCTGGTTGGTTCTTTAGCTCTTTTCTGAGGCTCTCTATTGCAACTCTAATTGGAGCTGCTGAATCCACCGTAGTGTCTCGCAGTTCTCTCGTCTCTCTTCTCAGTTCTTCCAGGTTTGCCTGGACTGAGGGGTAGCTGAGAATTGAATGAGGCGTCAGTTATTCCTTTGATATCTCTCGTTATCTTCAGGATTTCGTGCCTTAATTCTGCTACCTCTGCTGTTATTTGTGCTTTGATTTCTGAGATATGATCCTGAAGTTCCTCGATAAATTTTTTGTGATGTTTTTCCGATAACATCTCCTGGTTTGGTATCTCTGGGCTGTGTTCACTACTTTGTGTCTGCGGGATTACCCTATCTTTGGTGAGTTCTCAAACCGCCTGACGGAGTTCCTGCAGCTCTTCGGCGAAGCGAGATAAGTCAATTTCTTGACGAGTAGGGTTCTTAAGGGCGTCGGTGTTCGCCCGAAGTTGCTTTAGTTCCTCCATCAAGAATTGCATCTGACTCGAGATGGATGAACCTAGGGTGAGATCTTTACGTACATTGATGATTTCTTTCTTTGTTGCCGTTACCGCCTCACAAAGGTCATACGAGACAATTGATCGGGTAGATTCTGTTTCTTTCAAAAGCTTTTCTACGTTCTCTTTTAAGTTAGCATATTGTCCTAAAGTCTCGTGCATGAACCTTGCATGCCTTTGTGTGAGCCTTTCTGATTCACGTGAGACATTTAGTTTTTGTTTGCTGGATTCAAGAATGTGTAAAATTCTCGAATCAGACAATTTGAGGACCATTTCATATAATGTATACATCCCCGAGACGACACTTTCCCGGATTTCCCTCTTTAGATTTCCAGATTTTTCCAGCTCTGCCTTCGTTCTTTGCAGCACTTCATTGGCATGTCTGGGCAAATCATTAAGGAGCATCCGGTTTCCTCCAATCGACCTCGTGGAAGTATTGAGGGACGTGTTAGTGTCTCCACTGTCAATATCCGACTCTGCGGTGTCTTCAGTCTCCGACAACGTTTTTAGGGCTTCTTTGGCTTCTGCAGCCCTCGCCTGTTTAATCTGTGTGCGTATTCGTAAGAGGCTTGCACCAGTCCTTGATAACACAGGAGATGATGATGTTGCCTCGTCGAGATTTGGTGAAGAGTGAAGCAAGTCTGAGGTCTGCGGTCCCTGTTCATCCTTTTCTGCACTCCACCCTGTCTGGTGGTGCAGTTTTTCGGCTTCCTCTATTTCCAAGAGGTTCAAAACCTTTTCACCCTGTGTTTCCTGAGTTGGTAACTCTGCTGTCTTTATGTCTATATCGGTATGAACTTGGCCGGAGCCCTTTATGGCTTTTGTCACAGTTTTCCTTTTGATTGAAGGTGGTTTATCTGTACTGCCAGTTGCTGTTCTCTTTGGTTTGTCCGCCATTTCTAAACAACCTCCAGTTATAGAGTTCTAAATGCACTTGAGGTAACCGAAAACCGCGTTAAAATCGGACTATTAAAAATGAAGTTACACGCCTTTAAAGATATTCAAGATGGCGGATGACTTGACCAGTTCGGGTGATTTCGGTGGTAACTTAGGATTTTAGGGAGCTATTTAACTTTAATAATGTTGAAAACCGCGTTCAAATCCGACCACTGGTTCGGGAGTTATAGCAAATATAAATTTTCAAGATGGCGGTCCAAGATGGCGGTCGATATTTTAAAAACGGTCTATTTCCCTGTCCACCAGAGGTAAATTATTCGTGTTTGGGCTTGTTAAAATTGTCTTTGCACTAAGTATTTGAATATATCGCCAGTTTGTGCGATTTTTGGCGATTGTTCTTTTTTGGTCCTAAATTATTCTAAAGACAATTTAAAGATGACTATTGGAAACCCCACTCTTCTGCGATGAACCGTTTCCGAGGTATGAGCCAAACAAGATTTTCAATATGGCGGACAAAATGGTGGAAAAACGATAAATCTTTATATCTCAGCAACGGGAAGTGCTATGATGGTCGTGTTTGGGCTTTAATTTTGTGGAATTACACGGGCAAGCCAACTGTGATATGTAAATCAGCGAAAAGAGAACAGATACTGAAATTTCCTGAAAAAAACACTGAAAACTTTATATCTCTCTAACGAAAAGTGATACAACCGTTCTGAAAACGGATTCTTTTTCGGTTTTTAGTGCTCTACGATATCCTTGCGATAAAAATATCGCCAGACTGTTAAAACACAGACCACGTGTTAGAGTGTTTTCAGGAAAATTGAAATAACTCGGAAAGTTTAAGTTCGAAAAAATCCAGAACTTTGCAAATAGTTTAAGGATAAGTTTTGCAACTATATTATAAATTAAAAATAATATGTCGTCGCTAAGAATCACGCGCAATTAACGAGTGAAAATGAGCCAGTTTTAATAATTTTGCATTTTTGGCTATATCTTCTGGAATACGATGCCGATTTCTGTGCCACAAGTACAGGATTATTGATTTATCAGTGTACTATAATAATGTGTGTTCAAATTCAACCGCACGATAGCGGTTTTAATTTTACACGCCACGTGGTTTTTCAGTTTTCGCCTAATTACTCCAAATTTAATTAGCGAAAAAATCCAGAACTTATGCCATATGATAGAGCTATATGAATGCCACAAAATAAGATATAAAAATCAGCAGGTCTTCGATCTAAAATGAGCGGCGTACGCAATTTAGTGTAAAATTTTTAGTGAAATTTTACCTGTTTTGCAGTTTTTCCGCTGTGTTTTGCTGAAATATCCTTGTGACACTTAACCTCCCACTAATGGAACAATCACTCGTGCATAGAACACACAGAGATACACGAGACACCACTTGTTTCACAGAAATCGGACAACTTTGACCTATTTTTCGGATTTTTCAAACGCGGAGCAACACGGAAACGTGTGCTTTTGCACCCTATGTAGGAGCAAAAGCACACGTTACCAGCCGTCATACAGTTATACAAAAATACACTACAGACACACAAAAACCGGTCAAGTCAGCTATCATTGTCGTTGACCCGTCCATACAATATACTATAAACCCTGAAACTATTACCGAAAACATTGTCGCGTGTAATTTTAAAATTAATAACCTAGATATTAGTATTGTGAACGCTTATATGGAAGAAGGCCAAAACATCGATGAAGATTTAAGAAAGATATCAAAATCCATTGACACACTGGGAAACGACCATGTCATATTTGGAGGGGATATAAACGCAAAAAGTCCCTGGTGGGGTTGTAGCGTGGAAGATGGACGGGGAACAGCCGTTGCTGAGACCTTAGCCCAACTGGGGTTAAACATACTTAACACAGGAAGTACACCAACATTTTGGGCACACAGAGGAGATAAAGACTACACAAGTATTGTGGACATAACCGCATGCTCTAACAACATATACCACAAAATATTAAACTGGAGGGTTAATCCTGACTTTGTCACTCTGTCGGATCACAGAGCGATTATGTTTGATGTAGAACCTGGGAATTCAATAAGGCAACCTAACCAGCGGAAATCTACCCGCATCTATAATACCAGCAAAGCGGATTGGAACAGATTCACCGCCACATTACAAACAGAACTACAGTCAATTAATATCACTGAAGAAGCAACTATGAACATAGCAACAACATGGGCCTTAGAAGACTTGATCGTGCAGTACGTTGAATGCCTACGAAAATCTTGTGATATAACAATCCCAAAGTTATCTCAAAGAATACCCTCAAAGACACCATGGTGGACAAAGGAATTAAACGAAAAGAAAAAAGAACTCATACGAAAAAGAAGAAAAATTAAATTTGCTAACAAAAACAGGAAACAGACAGTAATTGAGGAATATCTTATAACCAAAGTAGAATACAAAAATCATCTAGAAGAAGCTATAACATCGAGCTGGAAAGAATTCTGTACTAGGCAGGACCGGGAGAATATGTGGCAAAGTATCTACAGGGTGATACGTAAATCTCACAAAACTCCTGAAGACACATTATTACGGGAAACAGCAACTAGTGAGATAACGACCCCTAAACAATCTGCACAGCTCTTATCAAATATTTTCTACCCTAACGATGACATACAATCAGACGAACAAATACACACAGAAATAAGAAACAAGTCAGAAAATAATAGGAAAGAGTGGGCCAATAACCAGAATAAAGATGTAATAATCCCATTCACCAACACTGAAATTGAAGAAATATTTAAAAGCATGAGCCCTAAAAAATCGCCTGGAGAAGACGGCCTTACATCTGACATATGCTTCAGAGCCTATGAGGCGGCTCCACAAATCCTACTAGCCATATACACTAAATGCCTTCTACTTGGGCATTTTCCTAAAGTTTGGAAAAGAGCGATAATTCGAGTGATTCCAAAGCCAAACAAGGAAAACTATACCCTCCCAAAGTCTTATAGACCAATTGGCCTTCTACCTGTCCTTGGGAAAGTACTAGAGAAGCTATTTGTTAATAGAATGATGTGGCAATTATGGTCCGAAAACAAAATGAGCGGGCGGCAGTATGGTTTTGTCGCCCAGCGCGGTACAGAAGACGCCCTGTATGATGCCCTGGAAACTGTAAAACAAGGCTTAAAACGAAAGGAAATTGTGGTCGTCATCTCCATTGATATTGAGGGCGCATTTGACAATGCCTGGTGGCCCGGAATGATAAACGAGCTAGAAAATAAGAAAGTAGATAAATCAATATGCAGGTTAATAAGCAGTTATCTACAGGACAGGCAAATAAAACTCACTTATGCTGGTCATGAGGTGATAAAGGAAACTAACAAAGGCTGCATACAGGGATCTACCTGCGGACCCCTGCTATGGAACTTGCAGCTCGACCCATTACTAACAGAAGTTGAAGGTCTAGGAACATACATTCAAGCATACGCAGACGATATAACGATAATAGCTAAAGGAAAATCAGCAAAAGATCTAGAAAATGAGCTAAACCCGGTATTAAACCACATCATAAAATGGGCAAAAAAAAGAAAAATGAAACTGGCACCCCAGAAAACTCAAGCTATACTGATAACAAAAAAAACGAAATTCGAAAATCCAAAGATAGTACTGGGAGGAACGGAAATAATTATCTCTGACACGATAACAATACTTGGACTCACAATTGACGCCAACCTAAATTTCCTTAAACATGTAGACAGGGTAACTGAAAAAGCAATCCAACTTTATAAAAAAGTGGCAAAAACAGCAAGAACAAACTGGGGCCTGAATCCTGAAATTCTTAGGACAATCTACATAACTATAGTAGAACCAACCGTATTGTATGCTGCAAGTGTATGGGGACATGTAGCAAATAAGAAACAAATAAAAACCAGGCTTGACAGGATAACGAGAACCTTCAGTATACTGATATGTAAAGCACACCGCACTTCTTCTTTAATTTCATGCGCCACTTTAGCTAGAATTCTTCCCCTAGACCTAAGAGCACAAGAAAACGCCGACCTATTTAGAATTAAAAGGGGGGAAACCACTGGAACAATTACCAGGCAGGGAACTAGCAAAAGCTGTAAGTCCGTACTCGCTACCTCATCCAGCCAAACGCGTGAACCAAACTTATAACTTAATAACTGCAGAGGAAGATCTTGACTCTATCGGAAATGACTGGCCCTGCATATATACTGACGGGAGCAAGATTACAGGCAAAGTGGGAGCAGCTATCACCTGCTGGAAAGACGGGAAAGAAATATATAAATCCAGATTACGACTTGGCGATCATTGTAGTGTATATCAAGCAGAATTAGCAGCTATACTAAAAGCCACAGAAATAATCCTAAGCAACAAAACACTAAAAATGGCAAACATCCTCAGTGATTCTAAATCGGCGCTGGAAAGTCTCACTAACCCTAATGCACTACATCCCCTCGCAGCAAAAATTATGGAAAGTATGCGAGAAATAGAAAGCAATCAAGGCAAAGTTAGACTCTTTTGGATCAAAGCCCACTGCGGCATTCCAGGTAATGAGAGGGCAGATGAGCTCGCAAAGTCCGCCGCGGAGACACTGAAGCAGACTCCAGTGTACGACTGTTTTCCTCTCTCTTTCGCAAAGCGCTCCATCAGGGACAAATCTTTGCTAATTTGGCAAGAAAGATATACAACAGCACTAACGGGACAAGTGACAAAGAAGTTCTTCACAACTGTTAAGCAAGCTTACAAAACCATGAAGAATATCAAGATTAATAATATGAGATGTCAAATTTTTACTGGACATGGAGGTTTTAAGGCGTATCTATGTAAATTTAAACTGACGCAGAGCCCATGCTGTGACTGTGACCAGTCAACACCACAAACTATTGAACATGTGCTAATAGATTGTCCCAAATATGCAGTACAAAGAATAAGCTGCGAACACCGCATGGGCTTTGCACTAAATGAAACTACACTTTGTAAGGCTATCAACGACAATGACAGCTACATGCATTTCCTTGATTTTGCTGAAAATTGTTTGAAAAAGGTACTCAAGGAAAATGGATCTAAAGTATACTAACATATACTTATATAAAAAAAAAAAAAAATATATATACATATATATATTCCGTAGAAACATTTAAATAGATAATTCGTAGTAGTAAGTAGCTGTAGAAACAATAAGTACTAGTATTGTATAAGTAGTTATAGTAATACTAGTAGTGTAGTAAAACTGTAGATTAATATGTTCTTAAGTTTACGTTTTTAAGCTTTATAACTTTTTGATCACTTGCAGAAGAACAGTCATGTAAAATTCTAAAGTGCATGTAAGATAAAATACGGTAGAATATTGTTAATAATAATAAAAAAAAAAATAAAAAAAATTAAAAATTGTGTAGTACACAATCCGCGTATAATATTGATTAATACATTACATAGAAACATTCAAATAGATAAAACCATAGTATTAAGTAGTTTTAAAAACAATAAGCATTAATAGTGTATTAGCAGTTACAATAATAGTGTAGTCAAACTGTAAAGTATCATGCGCTTCTAAAGTTTTTGTTTAAAGCCTCATAAGTTTGTAAGTACTTGCAGACGAACAGTTATGTAAAGCTCTAAATATCATACAAGATAAAATACGGTGGAATACTGTTAATACTAAAAAAAAAAAAAAAAAACCTAGTAAAAGAAAATAGATAAAAAAAAAGAAATAAAACAAAGGTGCTGTAAAAGAAATAACAGCAGATGAACTGAGTTAAAAAAAAAAAAAAAAAAAAACCTAACCTAACCTAACCTAACCTAACCTAACCTAACCTAACCTAACCTAACCTAACCTAACCTAACCTAACCTAACATAACCTAACCTAACCTAACCTAACCTAACCTAACCTAACCTAACCTAACCTATAATGCGAATACACGAAACTGGTATTATGAGCAATATAGAATAATAAGGTCCCGATGATCCCATGATCGGGGAAAAGCGTATAAAAAAAAAAAAATAAAAAAAAAAAAAACCTAACCTAACCTAACCTAACCTAACCTAACCTAACCTAACCTAACCTAACCTAACCTAACCTAACCTAACCTAACCTAACCTAACCTAACCTAACCTAACCTAACCTAACCTAACCTAACCTAACCCAGTCTCGCGTCATCCGCGGTCCCGAACGTCACGAAACTATGACGCTCCGCAAATAAAAATTCGGGAAAGTGGTAAAAAGTTGTGTAATAGTGACTTATTATATATCAAAAGATGCGTAATTTTACGCTCTTCACTGTGGTGGAAACAGATTGAAGCCGAGATTCTTGTGAAAAAAATTATACTTGAAAAAGTGACTAAAAATTAACATTTTCGTGCCCGCTCCTGATTTTTGATCGAGGACGTATACTTTTTAATTTTGTAGTTAGTGTATATATGTGAGTTCTACGTTTGTGCCAAATTTCAAAATTTTTCTATGCGGAAAACCGGAGTTATTAACATTTTTTCAAAATACACGTGGTCGGTGATCTTAAGTTAGAGTAACGTGCTATACATCAAAAGACGCGGATTTTGATGCTTTATAATATAGTGAAAACCGCATAAAGCGGCGACTTTAGGAAAAAAAGTTATTCAAAAAAAAAGTGATTGAAAATTTATATTTCCTGCCCTACACCCAGTCAGTGACATGCATTGTACAGTTTTTATCAGTGGAATAAGTGTATACGCGTAATATCTAAGATCTCACCAAATTTGAGAATTTTCCGTGCAGGAAAAACCTATTTTCCAGCGGTTTTCCGTAAACCACGTGGTCGGCCATTTTGAAAACCAGAAGCGTGCGGCTGGTTCCAAAACTGGATTTCGAAGGACAATCAACAGGTGAACTCATTGTTATGAACAGTTTTTCCAACAATTGCACCGTTTTGACATAAATAGACTTTTTACCCTTATTAATCAATGTACTCCAACTTTCAAAATTCTATATCTCTAGAAGGAATACTCCTAAAATTCTGTTCTAAGTGTTAATAGATAGCGCATATCATACACTACAAACCCTCAAAATTTCAAAATTTTACATTTAGTAGTTCAAAAGTTGCAAAAGTTTTCCATAATTTAAAAATAGTTTTCCGCTCAAAATGTGCAATATTTCTACATTCAGACCTAAATATCTCGCAAACGGTGCAAGATAGCTCAATTTTGAGGCCAGTTTTGGCGGGTATATATAATATATTATATATATATAATATATTATATATATATAATATATTATATATGGTCCCCCAGACCTTTGGAACCCCCCCACCCCCCACCCCCTAGGACTAAGTTGATAATTTAATATGTGTGAAAACTTAATATTACTGTGTGTGTAGACTTTGAGACTCCTAAATGTTACGACGCCATAGTGCTATTATCGCAGTGTTCTTCCGAAGTGGACAATCCCCCCCCCGCTTACGCCCCCCTCCGAGAATTAGACGCTCAAATCAAAACTTAATGACCTGGACAATAATTGAAATTTTAAGACTCTATGTGAAAGTGTAGCCATGCCTGCGACTCAGGGAGACCCCCCTGCCCTCCCGGCCACGGCCGAGGAGGTCAGAGACTTTGATACATTCACCTTTGTGATCAACAAGCTGACTTCATGTGTCAGCTCAGCAATAAATGAGGGAAAAAGTGTAACTGCGGTGAATAAGCGCCTGATTAGTCTGGCCATGGAGGAAATCCGCCGGGCTGCCCGAACCCTAAACAGTGTTAACACCATCGCCTCTCCCAGCGCATCAGCCCTGGGGGAAATTAAAGAAGAAATCGTGGCCTGTGTCCGCGAGGAGATGACTGGTTTAAGGAAACTGGTCAACACAGTGAAAAAACCAACCTACGCCCAGGCTGTCTCTGCGGCCAGTGGGGCTTCTACATCTGTGGGAGGGCCTGCCCCCCGCACCGTACCAACTATCTCAAAGCCTGCCGTAATCATCACCCCGGCTAAAGATGTTAAAACGCGTCAGGAGGCTGTTGAATTATTTAGGAAAAGTATATCATATAGGAACTCCACTTATGCACCGACTAGGGTTCAACCCGTATCCAACAACAAACTCCGCGTGGAGTTTGAAAATGTCTCACAAAGGGATGACACGCTCACAAGGCTAGAGAATAGCAAGGATGTCAAAGCAGAACCCGTGCGTATGCTTAAACCCATGGTTATTCTTAAGGGCATATCCAAGGATGTTCCCTCGGAGGACCTGGTTAAGTTGATCAGCAAGCAAAACCCTGAGATATCCCATTTGATTGAGGGTGAGGGTCGTGACGGTGAGGGCCTCCGACTCCGCTTTAAGCGAGGTAATCGCAATAGTAATCTATATAACGCGGTGTTCCTGGCAGAGGCCAAGGTATACCGTAAGATTCTCGACTTAGGGAGGGTCTGCGTGGATCACCAGAGAATAACCGTGGACAGCTTTTCTCCGTTCTTGCAATGCCACAAGTGCCTTCAGTTCGGACACATGAGGTCCAAATGCACCGCCACCGAAAGTCTTTGCTCGCACTGTGCTGGCTCCGACCACCAGGTGGACAAACGCCCTGTGAAAAATGAGCCTCGCAGCGTCAAGTGCTATAATTGCACTTCTCACAATGCCAGATTTAAATCCAACCAAGACTGCAAACATACCGCTAATTCCGATAAATGTCCCAGACTGCGAGCCATGAAAGATAAAATAAATCAAAGAGTCGACTATGGATTTGCACCATAAAAACATAAAAATTTTGCAGTGCAACATTGATAGATCGAAAAGCAGTCTTCATGAACTACTTGTGTCTTTCATGGCTGGCAGCCATGACATCGCATTAATTTCTGAACCATATGTTGGCTCGGGTCTGGAACTTAGAGCTGTTCACGGTGTTCAAATAATACAGTTCCCATCACTGGAAACAAGGGTCAAGGCCTGCATTTTGGTCAGGCCAGGATGCGGCTCCATTATGGGGCTCACACAGTATTCCACACCTAATCTCTGCGTAGCACGCCTCTCTGCCGGGAACCGTGTTATATATATAGCTTCAGTGTACATCGAACCAGATAGAGATGAATCAGCCACTCTGGACAAATTGGATGCCTTTCTTAAGGCAACCGGCGACTCACCTAAAATTGTTGGGGGGGACTTCAATGGCTGGCATCCCATTTGGGGTAGCCCAGTCGCCAATGCTAGGGGTGGTGACGTGGTCGATCTGGTTTATGGTAACGAGTTGGTTGTCTGTAATGTTGGCGATTCGCCCACGTTCGAGACGATCACTCACGGCCGGCACCGGGATTCGATCATTGACATTACACTAGCATCTGAATCGATATACCATCTCGTATCGGAATGGCAGGTCAACCCCCAGATATGTACCTCATCTCAACACCACGCTATTGAATTTTACCTAAACAGTCCTAATTCTGATTTGTACACTAACTATAACACATCCACCTTCATTTTATATAAATCGAAAAAAGCCTGTTGGCCTTTATTTAATGAAACTCTTCACTTACACTTAACACAATCTGATATCTTGGACATTAATATATCTGCCCTGAATCCCTCCGAGTTGGATGACCTCATAGCCAAAGTTGTGGAAATTATCCACATTGCCTGCCGTAAAAGTATGCGGATGAGAGGTAAGGGAGGGAAATACAAGCCCCCTTGGTGGTCAGAAGAACTAGAGGCTCAGAAGCTCGAGATAATAAAATTGCATCATCGCATACAGGAGGCAAAGAGACGCGGTCTAGCCATAGAGGACTTAGTTCAGCAACACATGACTCTCAAAGCAGCATATGCACAAAACTTAAGAGCTGAGTCCACAAAAAGCTTTAGGGATTTTTGCAGCCTTCAAACCAAGGAGAATGTCTGGTCCCTGACTAATAGACTATTAAAAGAGTCCACTGCTAGACGCCCACCTACCACCTTAAAAATAAATAATAAGTTCACTGCGGACAATTATGAAACTGCAACTGCACTGCTTAACCATTTTTATCCTCCAGATCTACCAGACACTGACCCCCGTCATCACGAGCTGACTGCCCACCTCGATGACACTTTGGACACCAATGATGAACCACCCTTCACTTCAGAGGAGGTGCTGGAGCACTTGAGTCTAATGAACCCCAATAAGGCTCCCGGGTTAGACAATCTAACTTCGGATATTTGCCTGCAGTTCACAAAAAACTATCCGCGACTTATAACTGACATTATGAACAGGCGTCTGGCGCTTCAGCATTTTCCTGACTGTTGGAAGGTGGCGTATGTTAAAATTATCCCCAAACCAAGTAAGAGTGATTATGGTGAATTAAACTCTTTTCGTCCCATCGCATTGCTTCCTGTGTTTGGCAAACTGTTGGAAAGATTGTTTATCAAGCGTGTCACCTTTTGGGCCGCTGGCAACAACCACAGCTGCCCACGGCAGTTTGGCTTCCGCGAGCAAACAAACACAACCGCGGCCATTAACTCTGCGCTCGGCGTTATTCGTCGGGCCAAGGAAAGTGGGGAGCTGGTGATCGCACTATCATTGGACATCAAAGCGGCCTTCGACAATGCCTGGTGGCCGGCACTATTCCACAGGCTGAGGCTGATGAACTGTCCTCACAACATCTATGGACTCATTTGCAGCTACGTTCGAAACCGCGTGGTGACTCTCGATCATGCCGGGGTCAGGGTCACCAAGATGATGACTAAGGGATGCATCCAGGGTTCCGCCTGTGGCCCGGTGCTGTGGAACATCATTCTTGATGAGCTCCTTGAAGAGGAACTTCCGGCAGGTTGCCATATACAGGCGTTCGCAGATGACGTGTTCCTTGTCGTGTCAGCCAAAGATGTCCACCGGCTTGAGAGTGCGACTAACACTGCGCTCTCTCGTATCACTGCATGGGGATCAAGTGTAAAATTGGTATTTGGTCCCTCCAAAACTCAAATGATCGCGTTCACACCTGGTGCAAAGACTGCAAAAATCACTATGAACGGACACACATTAAAATTCTCTTCTGATGTCAAATTGTTGGGTGTCATGCTGGATGAAAAACTGCTATTCAATAAGCACATCCAGTATGTCATCGGTAAGGCGACAAAAATTTTTAATAAACTTTGCCTATTTACACGGCCTACTTGGGGTGCACACCCGGAGAACATACGCGCTATATACCATCAGGTAATTGTACCTATTGTGACATATGCTGCTGGTGTATGGGGGCACGTCGCTTCCAAGAGAGGAGTCAGAAAGCGGCTGGAGAAAATGCAGAGAGGATTCGCCATCAAGGCGATTAAGGCATTTCGTACCGTCTCCACATCGGCTGCTCTGGCCCTCGCCGAATTTACACCAATCGACTTAAAAATTCAGGAGGTTCATGCGGTGGAAAGGACTAGATTGTCCTGCACGTCAGACTTTCTACCGCATGACATAACTTATGAAAAGCCAACACAATTACACGAACTTTTGCACCCCAGTGAGAGGATCACCATTCAACATGACACACTACATAGCCAGCGGGAGGTGGATGCCGCCATCAGTCCTGACTCGGTCTGTATATATACAGACGGTAGCAAGCAGGAGGACGGGGCTGTTGGGGCGGCCTTTGTTGCCTACGTTCCCGCGGGTGACTCACCCAACACTGTAGTTAAAAAATTCAAACTGCATGACTCATGCTCCGTATTTCAGGCTGAACTGCTAGCCATATTTAAGGCTTGCAACTGGACCCTTAACAATAATCACATCCAAACTGTTTTATTTTCCGACTCTCTTTCTGCTATAAAGGCTATACAAAACCGAAGTAATACTCACCCTATAGTGGTTGAAATACATAAAACAATTCATGAAATTAGGAAGTCTGGCTGCATTAAGATAGTATGGGTGAAAAGCCATGCGGGTATTGTGGGAAATGAAATGGCGGACATGGCAGCCAACGCTGGCTGTAAACTACACAAAACACCAGACTACGCACACTTTGCCATCTCGTATACAAAACATTTAATACGCACTAAACACCGGGCTCTATGGCAGACCCGTTACGAGAGTGCAGAACAGGGCAGACACACTAAAACACTTCTCCCCACACTTGATGACATTACCACACTCAACAAAATCACCTGTCCTGACTTCTACTTAACCCAAGTTCTCACCGGTCATGGCTTTCACAAGTCATATTTATATCGGTTCAAAATCACTCCTGATGACAGATGTCCTTGTGATGATATTACGTCCCAAACGCTGGAACATCTATTGGAAAAATGCCCCGCGTTCGGTGCACAGAGAGCCACCCATGAGATATTATGTGCCAATGTGAGAGTGTCACCCTATAAAATAGTTGATATAATGAAAAAAAGAGTCCAGTTGGAACTCTTATGTAACGTTTGTTAAATATATATTATCACGCCTTAAAAGGTTCAATGTTAATAATTAAAAATACATTAACTTATACAGTTTATATTTTTCTCTATTTTTATTTCACGTTCATCATGTTTTTATTTTATACTGTCATATCTCGGCATAACATAAATTGTATATATTAATTCTGTCTAGTTTTAAGATTTTCTGTAAAAAAATTTCGAAATTTTTTTTTGTTTTTTTTTTCTGTTTGTTAAGTCAGTAAGTTTTGTTTTATATCCCATTTTACCTGTTATTTCTTGTTAACAATTAAGGTCCAATATCAATAATTTGGTACACATTGATTCATATTTTGTATATATTCTTCATCTTTACTTCACGCTCATATAGTTTTATTTTATATTATCACAACATCATTCTTCTTGTATCTTAGCTGTTAATTGTCTCTTATCATATGTATAGTATTTTATAGTATATTTAGGCTAATATTACATCTTATCTTTATTGTAACTCCTTATTACATTAAGTTGCGGCGACGTGAGACTAACGAATCCAGTTTTTAGTATAGTGAAATTGTAAATTTGAAAAATTGAAAACTAATTCTTTGATATTAAAGTGTGCCAACTGATGCAATTATTATACTTGTATATTACTGTAAATTTTTTTAATATTAATAACATTTTTTTCCCTTTCTTTCTATATTGTTTTCTACCATTTAGTTAACTATTCAAAAATGTAAATATAAGCTCTAAATGACAGTGTGCCCACTGCAAAAAATATTTGTTTTAGTATAAGTTGTCTTATGTTTTAGGTGCTTTTACATTGTTAATCCTTAAATTTTTTTTCTCTCTTCTAAATACAAATGTATATATTTTGTTTTTCTTCTTCTACTACTTTTAAGCAAAATGTACATTGACTGTATCCAATCGCAGTCAATTTGTATAATTTTACTTGTGAAACATTGTTATAATAAGTGGTGTTTAATTTTAAGCAAATTTTGTGGAAACAGACAATACAATCCCTCTGGAGGTGGCGTAACCCCCGGAGGAAAAAAAAAAAAAAAAAAAAAAAACCTAACCTAACCTAACCTAACCTAACCTAACCTAACCTAACCTAACCTAACCTAACCACCTTATAACTTTGCATAAAAACATTGTAAAAATTCCCTGGCTGCCCTGAAATATTTAATTAGTTTAGTCTTATTAGTTTACTGTGTTTTCAAGCCATTTCGGGCGATATTTCTAATTTAAATTAAAAATTATTGTTTTTGAGAAACGTAATATATCAAAATTTTTCGTCTATATTAAAATTTTACAAATCTCTTCCGTTTTTGCTCCTATCAGGTCCACCTTACTCCACAACCGCCGTATCAGCCAAAATCTGCAACAATAAACGTAGACAGAATTAGCAAAATACTGGTTGAGAGTGGATAAACTACGGAAGGCCAGGGATCAAAAGGTAATAGTGGGATGCCAGACACATGACGAAGTTCAAAAAATTGCGGAAAGAATCAAAAGAGCATCCTCAAAATTGCTAGTACAAGAAGTCGAGAATAAAGACCCTCTGATAATTATGAGAGATGTTCTATCTTTAAATAAAGACGAAGATATTCTAGCAGCTCTGAAAAACCAGAATAAGCAACTCCTATCCGATATACCAGATGATCAATACAGAGCAGTAATTAAATATCGGAAAAAAGCTAGGAATCCGCATATTAATCATGTTGTAATTCAAGTATCCCCAAAAGTGTGGCAGAGACTGACAACAGTGGAAAAAGTCCACATTGACTTGCAACGTGTAATAGTAAGAGACCAATCACCGTTGGTACAGTGTACGCGGTGTCTGGGGTACGGTCACGGAAAGAAATTCTGTAAAGAGACACAGGATTTATGCAGCCATTGTGCCGGACCCCATGTTAAGGACGACTGTCCATTATGGGCAGTAAAAGAACCACCGACATGTCGCAATTGTTTGCACGCAAAAAGCGAAAGGGCAGACCACAATGCATTTGACGACAGTTGCCCTATCCGAAGGAAATGGGACGCGATCGCGAGATCGAGTGTAGCGTATTGCTGAAATCGATACAACGAATTATGGGACCACCAGTGATGAAGAATCATTAAGAAATCCACAGGACTACCGTATTATACAAGCAAATCTCCAGAGGAAGAAATTAGCAACTAAAGAGTTAATGATAGAAGCAGAACAAAGAAAAATTAATATCGCTTTGGTACAGGAACCATATATTGGAGCATTAGGGGAACTTAAACAAGAAAAAGGGACAAAAGTAATTCAGTGTACAAGAAACAGAACTAAACCTGTAAAGGCAGCAGTAATAGTTTTTGATCAAAATATTAATGTCATAGAGGATCCAACACTCGTAACGGAGAATATAGCAGTGGCTCAATTAAAAACGAATAAGTGGGAATTAGGAGTCATATCGGTCTATTTTGAGGACAGTTTACCTATCGAACCCTATCTCGCACAACTGAAAACTATCATTGAAAAACTAAAAACAAAATACGTACTAATAGGAGGTGATTTCAATGCATGGAGTACGTGGTGGGGAAGTGCTAGGGAAGATCATAGGGGAGAGGAATTGGCAGGAATGATAGAGGATACAGGTATGCACATATTAAATGAAGGAAATGAACCCACATTTGATACTATTAGGGGTGGGAATATCTATCAGAGTATAGTAGACGTAACAATCAGTAGCGAAAATTTATTAAGTAAAGTGAAGGATTGGAGAGTAAATAAAGCTATTATAAGTTCTGACCACAACTGTATAACATTTAAACTAGCA